TTTATATCGATGACGAGAATGGGCTTGTACGGTTTTTGGGGTCACGGCATGACGGAGACACGGTGAAATTGGTACACGAGTATATTTGGCTTCGAAAGCAGTGGATCGAGCGTGGCGAGAGGGTATAGTTTAGAGGATTGGAATATAGCAAAGGGACGGTAGTAGTAGTAGATATATAGGCTTAGAATCAGAGATATATATAGTGATAGCAATTAGAAAGTAGTAAGAATAGGGTATTATTATAGAAGAGATCATAGGTGACAGCAATTAGAAAGGAGTAGTATTAGAGGATTGGAATACGAGATATATATAGTGATAGTTATTAGGAATAAGTACTAGAAGTAGGGGACTAGAATATAAGATATATATAAATAGTACCGGCCATTAGAAATAAGTAGTAAGAATAAGGAACTATTATAGAAGAGATAACAATTAGTAGCGATTAGTAGTATAGAGGGTGAGGGTTTGTAGTCAAGGGTAAGGGTTTGTAGTCAAGGGTGAGGGTTCGTAATCAAAAGGAGAGGGTAAGAGTTATTATCAATAGGTCAAAAAAGCAATAAATTATGACGGCTGTTAGAATATAGTAGTGAGTATAGGAGCTTTAGAAAAAGTGTACAAGTAGTAGTAAAAGGGTGAGGGTTAGGAGTTTAGAGGGTAAGGGCTAGCGGTATAAAAGGTAAGCGTTGTAGTAGTAGATTGGAATACGAGATATATATATATGATAGAAGTTAGAAGTAGTAGAAGTAGAGGATTAGAATAAGAGATATAGATAAGGCGTGATAGCAATCAGAAAGAAGTAGTACGAATAGGGTATTAGTATAGAACTAGTGACGGGTATAAGGTATAAAGGAGAGAGTATAGTAGCTATATAAGAATTAGTAATAGGGTAGTAAACGGAAGAGGGTGAGAGTTATTATGAATAGGTCAAAAAAGGGATAAAGTGTGACTGCTGTTAGAATTTAGGAGTGAGTATAGGAGGTTTAGAAAAAGCGTATAAGTAGTAGTTAAGGGGTGAGGGTTAGTAGTAAAGGGGTAAGGGTTCGTAGTCAAGGGGTGAGGGTTAGTAGTCAAGGGGTAAGGGTAAGAGTTATTATAAATAGGTCAAAAAAGCAATAAAGTGTGACGGCTGTTAGAATTTAGTAGTGAGTATAAGAGGTTTAGAAAAAGCGCATAAGTAGTAGTAAAAGGGTGAGGGTTAGGAGTGTAGAGGGTGAGGGCTAGTGGTGGAGGGTGAGGGTTACCGGTGTAGAGGGTAAGGGTCAACGGTATAGAGGTAAGGGTTGCAGTAGTGGATTGGAATACGAGATATATATAATGCGTGACAGCAATCAGAGAGGAGTAATATTAGTAAAGAACTAGTGACGGCTATAAGGTATAAAAGAGAGAGTATAGTAGCTATATAAGAAGTAGTAATAGGGTAGTAAACGGAAGAGAGTGAGAGTTATTATAAATAGGTCAAAAAAGTAATAAAGGGTAACGGCTGTTAGAATTTAGTAGTGAGTATAAGTAGTAGTAAAAGGGTGAGGGTTAGGAGTGTAGAAGGTAAGGATCAGTGGTTTAGAGGATAAGGTTTATAAGTATAAAGGGTAAGGTTAGTAGTGCAGAGGGTGAGGGCTAGTGGTGTAGAGGGTGAGGATTAGTAGTATAGAGGGTAAGGTTTAGTGGTTTAGAGGGTAGGTTTAGTGTAGGATATTTGGAAAAGGCGTATATAGGATTTAACGAGAGAGTATAATAGATATAGAAATCATAGTATAGAGGGTGAGGGTTATCGTAGTGATAGCAATCAAAAAGGAGTAGTAAGAATCGGGGATTTGTATAGAAATAGTGACGGCTATAAGGATTAACGAGAAGGTATAGTAGACGTATCCGAAGTAGTAAAAGGGTAGGCTTAATAGTGAAAGGTAAGGGTAAGGGTTATTGTAGATAGGTCACAAAAGGTATGAAATATACTAGTAGTCCGGATTTAGTAGTGAGTGTAGGAGGTTTAGAAAAGGTGTATATAGAATAGGAGAGAGTATAATAGACGTATAAGTAGTAAAAGGGTGAGGGTTTTAGTATAGAGGGTGAGGGTTTTAGTATAGAGGGTGAGGGTTTTAGTATAGAGGGTGAGGGTTTTAATAAAAAGGGGAAGGGTTATTATAGGTAGGTCAAGAAAGGCATAAAATATGACGGCCATCAGAATATAGTAGTAAGTGTAGGCGGTTTAGGAGAGGTGTATATAGAATATAAGAGAGTATAGTACACGTATAAGTAGTTAAGGGGTGAGGGTTAATAGTGTAGAGGGTGAGGGTTAATAGTATAGAGAGTAAGGGTTATTGCAGGTAGGTCAAAAAAGGCATAAAAGGTGACGGCGGTCAGAAAATGGTAGTGAGTGTAGGAGGTTTACAAAAGGCGTATATAAGATTCCAAGAGAGAGTATAGTGGACTTGGAAGTGATAATATAGAGGGTAAGGGTTTTAATGTAGAGGGTGAGGGTTATAGTAGTGGAAGGGTAAGGATTAGCGGTGTGAACGGTCAGGGTTAGTAGTGTAGAGGGTATGGGTTATAGTATTATAGGATTTGCGTTATATAGATAGGTCCAAAAAAGCATAAATTGTGACGGCCGTCAGAAAATAGGAGTAGGGAGTATAGTAGGCGGAGAAGTCATAGTAAGAAGTAATAGTAAGAAGTAATAGTAAGAGAGTAATAGTAAGAGAGTAATAGGCGGAGAAGTAATAGTAAGAAGTAATAGGCAGAGAAGTAATAGTAAGGGAGTAGGAGACGTATAAGGTGTGAAAAGGCTGGGAGAGGGGATAGGTAGAGTATTTAAGTACGTAGGTTAGATATTTCGGGGTAGAAGCCCGTAAGGGGGGGCGTATAAAACTAGTATAGCGCCAATATATATCGGTTAAGTAGTGATTTTATCGTTTTTCGGGTATCGCACCGGCTTGGTGTACGGGGTTAGTCCCATCATATAGGATAGTATAGTCGGAGGTTTGGGGTAGGTAGGCCCAGTGTCCAAAGTTCGGATTTCGCCATCAGTCATTTATATTTAGGTTTTACATTGAGGTTTTTTCCGGAGTATTTTGTAGGTTGGCGGAAATATATATCACGGTGTAATAGGTGACGCAGTAAGATATATATTTGTTATAGATATATCAAATATTGGGATTTGAATATTTTGTATTGATATAGCGGTAAGTGATACTGTAGAGCAGTAATAGTATATCGATATCATAGGATATATAAGTTAGTGAACCAAATTCGATTTAAACAGTGGTTAGAGGGTAAGGGTTAGTATTATTATAAGGGAGGAGTTTTGAATTCGGAGAGGATAAGAGTAATAAGTAGAGGTAAGGGGTTTATAGCGAGAGTATTGGTATATATTCCAGGGATATATTGTATAAGGGATTAATAAAGAAGGGAAGGGTTATAAGAGTAAGAGGGGGGAGGGTTTAAAACAATAGAGGGTAAGTGATATATTAGTGGAAGGGTAAGGACTAGTGGTATAGAGGGTGAGGGTTATAATAGGTAGGTTCGAAATAATATAAAATATGACGGCCATCAAAATATCGTAGCTAGTGTAGCAAGTTTCGAAAAGATTTATATAGGATAGAATAAGAGAGTATAGTAGACGTATAGGTAGTAGTAAAAGAGGAGGGTTCGTAGTGTAGAACGTAAGGGACATAGGAATATCGGGATTTGTTTTATATAGATAGTTCAAAAAAGCGTAAATAGTGACGGGTGTTAGAAATTAGTAGTCGGGAGTATAGTAAGGGGAGAAGTAATAGCAAGAGAGTGATAGGTAGAGAAGTAATAGTAAGGGAGTAAGAGATATATAAGAGGTGAAAACCCGAGGGGGGGTAGTGTATATAGCTAAGTAGGCCGTATATAGCGTATTTCGGTAAGGGTAAGGTGTTTTAGTGTAGTAGGGAAGAGGTTCCAAGGTAGAAGCTAGTAAACGGGGACGTACAAAACTCGTAGAGAGCTGATATATATTATAGTATAATCGGGGTTTACGCAAGATATATATTTATAATAGACGGGTTCAATTTTGGGATAAGCATTTTTTGTATAGATATAGCGGTAAATGATAACATCGAATAGGGATAATATATTGATCGTTTGTGACAATATCGTAGTAAGTGATATAGTAGAGTAGTTATAGTAGATTCATAGCATAGTATATATAAGTTAGTAATTTAGATTTGATTTCAATAGTAGTTGGAGGGTTAGGGATTATAATAAGAAGAGGAGGGGTAAGGGTTGATTAGAATCAGGGAGTAGATTTGAGTTCGGAGAGGAGATAGTTGATAAGTAGAGGGGAAGGGTTTGTAGTTATAAATAGGGGTAAGGGTTATAATTATAAGAGGGGGAGGGTTCAAATAGTAATAAAGGGAAGGGAAGAGGGGGGAGGGTTTATAATAGAAGGAGGAAGAAGGGATTATTATAATTCGGGAGGAGTTTTGAGTTCGGAGAGGATATAGGTAATAAGTAGAGGGGAAGGGTTGTAATAAGTAGAGGGGGGAAGGGCTTCGAGTGATACGAGGGGGAAAAGTTAAAATAATAAAAACGGTAATAGTGTGAAGGGATAATAGGTTTATAAGAGTGATCAAGGGGAAGGGTTTATAATAGTAAGATAGGGAAGAGGTTTAGTTAGTATATAGGGTATAAGTATAACTTAAGTAATAAAGAGATAAGGTAGATAGTAAGGAGATAAGAGATATAAGATTAGTAGTTAGATATAGGTTAGTGATTATTTTATAGATCAAGAGGGGTATAAATAGGATTATAAGTCGATAAGGGGGATTGATAGAATTAAGGGTATAATTATAGTCGGAGGCGTAGGGAAGATATAATACGGGTAGTAGATATAGAAGAGGTGAATCGGGATATAGTAGTAAGGGTTTTAGAATGATTAGATAGGACAATTGGATAGATAGCTTAGTAGAAAATTCGAGGATATTCGATAGTGTAGTAGAAGATATATATTCGTGTAACTAGATTAAGTTATATATTACATGGTTGAATATATATTCCACATTGCAATTAGAGGGTATATATATAGATTGAATATCGGATCGGAAAGGATTATATAGGTGATTTAAATTGGGATAAGATTGGTAGGTAAGAAGGAATATAAGGTAGATTTGTGTTAAGGTAGGGAATATAAGATAATTAATAAGCGGAGTAGATAATAAGGATAAGGTCGAGGGTAATAGAGAAGATCGAGTGGGTAGAATAGAGGGGGAAGGTAAGGGTGAGGGTGAGGGTGAGGGTAAGGTAAAGGGTGAGGGTGAGGGTGAGGGTAAGGTAAAGGGTGAGGGTGAGGGTGAGGGTGAGGGTGAGGGTGAGGGTAAGGTAAAGGGTGAGGGTGAGGGTGAGGGTGAGGGTGAGGGTGAGGGTAAGGTAAAGGGTGAGGATAAGTAGTATAAGGGTGAGGTGAAGGTAAAGGCTTAGGGTTAGGGCTTAGGGCTTAGGGCTTAGGGCTTAGGGTTTAGGGTTAGGGTTAGGGCTTAGGGGTTTAGGGTTTAGGGTTTAGGGTTTAGGGTTAGGGCTTAGG